GTGCTTCTGAAGGAGAAGGCGGGTGGACCAGGACCGTCCGAACTCTTTACCAAATCTCTTGTCCTGGGGGCAGCTTTGGCGAGGCGATGAGGTGTTTTCTAGAGGCACTTTTTTTGTGTGACTGTGTATATATGTTTATTTGTTTCTTGAGGTACAGTCAGTTTACAATGTTGTGTCAATTTCTGGTGTACAGCATAATGCCTCAGTCATACGTACATATACATATATTCGTTTTCATATTCTTTTTCACCACAGGTTACTATAAGATATTGAATATAGTTCCCAGTGCTATACAGTATGAACTTGTTGTTTGTTGGATTTTATGAGGAATCCTCCTGTATTTTGAAGTTAGAGACACCCTGCCAGAGTTCAGCAAGTGTTCTGTGCAATTCAAGGGGGTCTGCAGATGTAATTCTTGGTGTTTGTGAGAGAGGGCGAGCGATGAGTCTCTCTACCTTGCCATCTTGGCACCTCTCTCCCAGAGGCACTGTAAACATTTGGACTTTATCGTCTGGGTTTGGTCTCATATTGGTTCTTTCCATAATCTCACCAGAGCTCACCTTGCCAGACATCCCTCGGTATTTTGATGTCTGCGCTGCCTCTGGATTCTTGTCTGTTGTACTTGGAACATCCACCTGCCACAAACAGACAAACAAACAAACATCTTCCCAATGTCTAAAACATCAGATCATACCTTTCTTTGTTCAGTTCTCAGCACCAAAACTTTTCTTTGTGAGAATTTATAAACCAGGGCACTGACTTGACTTGCACTGTGTATGAGGTTTCTTATAACCTCACTCACTCACCAAGTAGTTCCTGAGGTGTGAGGTGCTGAGTCCTGTCCTAGGTACTGGGAATTAGCAGTGAGCAAAGGGCCACACTCTCCCGGAATCTGTTTTTGTCCCCATACATGTGCAGGAGGAGAAGGGACCACGCAACCCTTGGCATTTGCTGAGTGCCTGACGCTGATCTGAACATTTTGCACATGATTGGTTTGATCACATAGCAGCCTGTGAGGTGGGTGGTGTCACTGTCCCCAGTTTACAGATGAGGAAACCGAGGCTTAGGGAAGAGGCCAGGTAGCCTGCTCCCGGGGGGGCCCAGGCTGACTGTAGGAGGAAAGAAAAAGGAAGTGGAGGTAGGTGGGGTGGAGCAGCGGGGGCTCCAGAGGAGGGGGGGAGGAGGGAACCTTTGAACAAAGGCCTGAAGCAAGAGACCTGGTCAGGGGATTCGTGAGGTCAAAGCTATTTTAATAATAACATTACAACGTCATTTGCCTTTTCCTCATCTTCTCACGAGTGCGCAGTGGAGGGTCTTAGAGGCCACAGGACACGGAATAGCACTGCATGTGGCCTGCAGGAGGGGCAGTGAGAGCCCCGCTGGCTCTGCCAAGCTGGACCCAGGAAGGGTGTGCAGAAATGTAGCACACTGCCTCTATTCCTAGTAAACTTTGTTTTTAAAAATAGGGTTGTGTTCATTAAAATATGATTTATGTTAACGTCCAGTGGGTTTGCTTTTTTAAAAATGAGTAAGTACTAAAAGTTGTCTTGGTTTTAATTCCCAGTACAGTAAATACTGATAGGTTGATGGGCGGACCCCACAGAAACCCAAGCTGATTGGGGTCCTTGGTGTAAAGGGATCCCAAGAGCACGGGGTTTGAGCCACCCCTGCGTTAGAAGTGTCCCCCTGGCCGCTGTGTGAAGAGTCCGGGCAGGAGGACACGATGAGGTGGTTACTCGGCTTCTGTAATTGGTCTAAGCGGGCAGCAGAGAGGATGAGAAATGGTGCATCTGGATTTATTTTGTGAATGTGGATTTTTTTTTTAAATCTGGTAAATACACATATAACAAAGTTTCCCATCATAACCATTTTTAAGTGTGCAAGTCAGTAGTGTTAAGTTCATTCATTCCTTCTGTTGTGCAACCAGCCCCTGGAATTCTTTTCATCTTGCAGAACTGAAACTCTACACCCATTTGTCACCTCCCCATGGGTCTGGATTTACTTTGAAAGTGAAGGCAGAGGTTTGGATGCAACATGTGTAAAATGTCTTGTAGATGCGTCATTAACCAGAGAGATGGTGGCTCCCCACCTCACCCCGCAAATGTACTTTCACACGCCTGCTTGTGTGGAATTTTACACGTGAGCGCACTGCTCCTCCCGCACGTCAGGTGGGAGTGAGTGCAGGTGAGGCCCAGGTGCTTCTGGTCCTCACCTCCTGTTACCCCATAACATGATGTGGTCACATGACAGCCAAAGAAAGTATCTCATCATGGTAGCATTGTATGAACGGTGGTTAAACATTTGAATTTAGTTTCAGATACTTCTGGGCTGACTTACACTTAGGGAGAGAATCTGGGTGGTTCATTCAAGAAATAGGCACTGACTATGTGGAAATAAGGTTTTCATCACATTCCTTTTAATCAGGTCCGCTTGGTGAGTGGCTCCATGGTTAATTACATGTCCTGAGATTATGATGTGAACACTCATAAGGTGAAGGTAAAAGGAAAATGGAAGGTTTCCAGCTGTGAGATGAGCCCCAGATGTGCTTGTGGAGATGGGAACTCGGGGAGGAGGCGGGGTTGGTGACCAGAACCAGGGAACGTCTCAGCACAGACCCCCTGGGAGCCAAGCCCTGGGCAAAACAAAATGGGCAGAAATGAAAAATTGATTTTGTCAGGTAAGCAGACTGCCAGAATGCAGTCCTTAACCTTAAAAACAAAAGTAGCAGTTCGAGTGCCCAAGCAGGAAGGAAAAACACCACTTCTCCAAATTGTCCGCCCAGCCCGGTGGGTTGTGGGGTGTCCCTGGTTCACAGAAGAGGAAATTGAGATCAAGAGGTCAGTTACGTGCTGCAGGTCACCCGGCTGGTTGGCCTGATCCCACAGGGGGTTATTCTTGAGCATTGTTTTCAGTCTAGTTTTTCAGAAATTATGTATTTCATTCTCTTTTAAGACCTGATATTTGTAATTTTATATTCATAAATCTTGTTTCACATCTTTGTATGTTTTTGTTTGTAATGCAAATTTTAAATAAGGAATATTGTATTACTGTTGTCATAGAGAAGTAACATTTTAAAACTAATTCTTTAGTTTTAAAAAAATTTTTACTGAAGTTTAGTTGATTTGCAATGTTAGTTTTAGGTGTACAGCAAAGCAATTCAGTTATATGTATACTTACACATATATACACATATTTTTCAGATTCTTTTCCATTACAGCTCATTACAAGAAATTGAGTGTATTTCCCTGTGCTATTCAGTAGGTCCTTGTTTATTTTATATGTAGTATGTGGTAACGTGTGTCTGAGAAGTAACATTTTTTTAATTGAAATGTGCTTGATCTACAATGTTAGTTTCAGGTGTAGAACATAGCAATTCACTGTTTTTATAGATTATACTCCATTTAAAGCTATTACAAAATAATGGCTGTATTTCTCTGTGCTGTACAGTATATCCTTGTGGTTTATCTGCTTTATGTGTAGTAGTTTGTATCTCTTAATCCAAGAAATAACACGTTATTATTTGTAACTTTTCTGTGATAGACTGAAAAACGGAGTGTGAGTTTGTCTGTGACGCTGTCTACAGATGTCAGTCTTTTTTCTTTCGATTTCTAGAGCAGTTTATTTCTTATTTTCAGTTACTTCGTGGACTCATATAATTTGTACAGTACTTACTCTAGAATTGAAGATTTCATCCCACTTCGGTCTTGATGCCAGACTTTGTAACAAAAACGTACAAGCGCGGCCTTCCAGGCTCGTGAGAGTTTTGTCGTTTTAACAGTGCACATGTGTCTTCAGAGCAGTTGGGTTGAAGGTAATAATCCTAACTCGGCCTACGTCCTTTCTCCGTTTTTTTTTTCACACACAGTTAACAAGCACAAGCCATGGCTGGAGCCCACGTACCATGGCTTAGTGACAGAGAGCGACAGCACTGTGCTCCTGGACCCCCCGCTCATCGCCCTGGACAAGGACGCCCCTCTGCGCTTTGCAGGTAAGCACGTGTCTTTGTCCACCTTGGCGAGTTGGATGGGTGGGAAGCATTTCACGCGGCCCATTGGGCTGTCGCTGAGCCCTTCCGAGAATGTCTTGATTTGGTAGCTAAGGGTTGCTTGTGGCCTCTTGTAACCACTTTTTTTCCCTTTAGTTTTAAGAGTTGGGGTACCTGATCCCCTCCCTCCAAAAGCCTATACCTGTTGAAAAGCAAAACAGTTAATTGCATCACTGTGTCCCTTGTCTTGTTGGAACTAGAGAGAGAGAGAGCGTCCAGACCAGTGCATCTCAGACTTCAGTGTCACACAGAGCACCGGGGATCACGTTGTTTGTTGAAATGCAGGTTTGGATGGAGTGGGTCTGGGGGGACCTGGGCTTCTGCCTTTTTAACCTGTGCCCTGGTGCTGCTGGCCGTGAGCATCACGGATCGAGGTAATTACAGCCCAAGATGTCCTCGCCCTACCTAGGTTTCAGTTACCTGAGAAGACCTACTTGAAAACACTGAGCAATCTTCTATGAGTGAATTCTTTTGGCTTAGATTTTACTTTCAGTAAATTTTTATCTTGAGTTACTTTATAAGATTGTAAACTAAGTGTTTATGGTCACAGGTTTCTAGGGTTGCTTTGGATTTGCTGCTCGGCTAACATTCAGTCACACTTTGCACATCAGAACTGTTCTTACTTTTCGCTGGGGCCACGGTGACTCATAACTGGTAGAGGAATGGGCCCTTCGCCCTGTCTGTGCCTCAGAGTCAAAACTGGCGTTGTGAAGTTGATTTTTAAAGAGTAGTTTCTGCGTGACATTTCTCCAGAACAGAATTTCTCCTGTTAAAGAGCGTTCTGTTGGCCTAGGGACAAATGAGAAAGATTTCAGTTAGCTCATGGAGATCATACCGCCCATGAATTTTACTGTGGTAAATGGGGGGAGTGAATGTGAAGCCGTCTCTGCAGAGCTATGTGAAAAATGAATTTGTTCTTCATCCCATTTAAGTGCCACTTCCCATTTTCAGGAAAGTAGCCTGAGAACAAGCTTACGCTGTTGGAGTCAGTGGAGGAGACAGACCTTTCCAATTAGTTTTACTTGTTTATTGGTTTTTAGAGAGAAATCCAATTAGATCTGGGGCAGTGGAGGAAGCTCTCTGTGCTGTGAACACACACAGAGTATTTGTCCAGGAGCCAAGGTGTTGTTTTTGTTTGTCCCCACCCCTGCCATTAAGGTCATTTTTAGCTGGCTTCCTCTGTGAGCAGCCAGATTTTGAGTGTCGGCGTGCACGTCTGTGCACACACTTTGCATGCAACACCTTCGGTTATTGTATGCAGTTCCTCCTCAGGAGTGTGGCGCTTCAGGGCTGTGTGAATAACCTTCGTAAGACTGTCTAGTTTTTGTTTCTGAGTGGACCTGGACATTTCTGACATCGCGTACATTTTAAGAAGTGATTGCATTGGGGGAAGGGATAGCTCAGTGGTAGAGCACATGCTTAGCATACACGAGGTCCTGGGTTCAATCCCGCAGTACCTCCATTTAAAAAGAAAAAGAAGTGATTGCAGTCAGGAGCTCTGTACGTACTCCCTCCAGCCTCTTTTTACGGTGTGGATTGTCAGGTTGTCAGCCGCATCCAGTCCTGTTAGTAGAGCTCTGTCTGTCTGCATCACGATACACAACGCTTATAAAGTGCGTAGTGTTCCAGACGCCGTTCTAAGCGCTTTACTAAAGTACGCATTTGTGTTTAATCCTCAGTGACCCTTCGAGGTAAGGACGCTTCCTGCCATCCCCATTTTAAAGAGAGGAAGCTGAGGCACAGAGCAGGTCACTTACCTGCTCTGGATCACATAGCTCGTAGGAGGCAGAGGCCAGATTCCAACCCAGCAGGATGGCTCTTTACTGTGATGCTGTCTAAGGCACCACAGGAAGTTACTGGGGGAGGGAAGTAGGAAATGAAATGTACAGTAAGTGCTCACTTTGAAGGGAAATGTCATACTAGTTACCTGTCATGTATTTTTCTTTCTCATTGTTTTTAATTGTATTGTGCCTTTTATACTAAAACTT